TATGGTCCGATATAAAAGTCAGATAGAAAACTTGTTAAAAGTAGTTTATAAGTTTTGCCAGAAAATTATGTTTTTCTGGAGGCGTGAAAAATTGAGTGAGAAAGCAAAATAAGTCAACTTGTTCATGAAGAATTATGGAACAGCTAGCTAGAAACGTGCTCAAATATGGCGGTTTTTTGCAGAACCGCGCAAAGTGAAACAAAAATGATTGCTAAGGTAAACTTTGGTTTTTTAACTGAATAAAGCTTAAGTCATTTTTTATCGACTGGTGTAAAATTACTTTTCAGTGTTTTAACCGAAACTAACCGCATTGAAGTTCCATGAATAATAATCGAATATAAATGAGTTTCGTTGTCACTGCCCACAAAAGTGAAAAAAAGTAGTTCCCCTCCAAGTTTTCTGCAGCCTGTTTATTTTTGTGGTAGCAAGCAGGAAAGGAAGTGTCATAAAAGCCAAGACATAATTGTACTCAGATAAGATTTGCTCTTGTACTCAGATCTACTTTTATCTAATCTTAAATCTATTTTTTCTAACTCTAAGTTTGTTAAGGTCTTGTTCGAGACTGTTGGTCGCACCAGATGAGTTAAGTACTATTGACTGTACTCATAGAGTATTTTCAGATAAGGTATACCGTCTGTTCGTCACGCTATCTTATTTTCGGCCGGATAGATTCGTTCAACTTCTTAGTCTAATACCGATCTTAATCTTACTCTTATATCTCCTAGTCTCAATAGATCTAGTGTATACCGATTTATGCGAGTTAGTTGCCAGAAGGAGAGTAACTGTATTCTAAGTTATTTTCAATTTGATCTGGTGCTGAAACTACACGTAGTTTCAGTTTTTAAAAATAAGTGTAAATGTTAGAGATGGAATAAGATTGGTTAAATATAAATATTTTATAGTGATATTCCATCATAAATATAATTGGTCTACAAATGCTAGATTAGAACTGGTTCCACTTATGTCTCTGGCTTTCTTATCTTTTTGGCTCTACCAATAGGCAAGCAGATGTCTGCTCCTCCTTAAAGATGGGGACATTATCTGCAATGACTACGGTTGTTCTGCTGATGCAATAGCAACTGCATCAGCAGCAATAGTAGCAGATGTTATCATGTCTCTGTCTTATGTTCTCCGATTTATTTGGGCTGTCATCAGTTTTGTTCTTTTATGAAGTGGTGAGCAGTTCTGCGGTTTCCCTGTGTGCGTGCTGTCTTTCTGTCGAACCTTGATTTTGTTTGAAATAATAACAAATCAGCGTCACTACTACTCGCTCGGTACACTTAATAATCATAATTTCGTATTTTGTTTCAAATCTAATCTAGCGGCAATTTGAACGAAAGAAAAACATATCTGATAAGTAATATGTTCGACTGATAAGTTCAGTTTTGTTCAGTCGAATATAAATGAGTTTGGTTGTCACTGCCCACAAAAGTGGAAAAAAAAGTAGTTCCCCTCCAAGTTTTCTGCAGCCGGTTTAATGTTTTGAAAATGGATTATATATAGGTTCTGAAAATTGAAAATGGATTATAATGTTATTATTTTTTGAGGCAACAAAATCCATTTTTACTCCATTATAATCGATTTTTTTCACTTTTGTTAACTTTTGTTTCTATAGGCCGAAACTATCAGTAAAAATACGTAATTTTTATATTGAAATGATGCGCTTTGTTTGTTGTTTTTTTTGTGCATTGTTTTTTATTATCTTGTCCTATATTAAATTTTGTGTATACATTATTCCTGTTGCGTTACATATTTTGCAATATTTACAAATTGAAGAAAGTTGTCAGAACTTAAAATTCTTCAAGTATTTTTTTCTTTATTGTATTTCAAGCAAAAACTAAAAAGCGATGACAACCATTTTGTAGTTCCCCTTCAATTTTTCTGCGGCCGATTTATTTTTGTGGTAGCAAGAAGGAAAGGAGGTGTCATAAAAGCCAAGACAAAATTGTAATCAGATTTGCAATTTCATCTGCAGTAAGTTTTTCGACGGTTTACGAGTTAATGTATAGGCTTTGAAAAATCGATCAAGCAGTTTAATATGTGGTAAAACCGTGCTGTTCTGCCAGAAATGAAAAGTTAAAAACGTAAATTAAAAACTGTAAAAGGGCAGGTTATAAAAAATAACTTGCACTTATACAAGTAAAGGTTTTATAAAATAAAACGAAAAGGTCTGGAAAAAAATTTGACAATATTGCTTTGTTTCTCCAGAAGATTTTTTGCAATTTCAAAATACTTACTTTAAAATTACTTTAGATGATAGAAGTGGCACCCTAATACCCCAAAAAAACTAGTAGGTCCTTGTTGCATTCAAATGTTGAAGTTCTGATAGACTGTAGCGCAGTTAGTTTGCTCACGGTTTTCAATATTTAAATCAATTTTTATTAGATATTTTCTATTTTTAGTATTTCAAATGAAACTAGGCTAAAACTATCAGTAAAAAATTAGTAACATCAGACGGACGGGACTTAAGCAAAATTGGGAAGCAACAATTGATAAGTTTAAAAATTTTGTACAAAATTGGATTTGGACTTTTTATGCAAATTAATAAATTTTTTTAACTTTATAGTTTATTGTGGATGTTTAGCACTGTTCAAAAGTAAAATCTTGTTGAGGTCTTCTTAGTTTATATTTTTTGCATTTCAAAAAACCGCTAATGTACCATGCCAGGTCATTTTAGTTAATAATTTTTGCACTTCAAAAAGCCGCCAATGCAACATGCGGAATTTATGCTTGACTACCCTATAAACATAAAAAGCTATTTTTGGGGGATAAGTTTTTTGATTTTACGAATTTATACAAAAGTCATAAATTGAAGTTGCCGAGCGCTAGAAAAATTTGACGTTCAGCATGAAATCTAGTCTAGCCGGCTGATGTCCTAGGCCAAGGTTGCATTTTTAATGTAAATTGGAATTTGTTTGTCATTTCGGTCTGCTCAGAACAAGTAAAATACTAAGTTTGAAGTCTCAAGTATTTTCTACTCATTATTGGCAATAACAGAGTAATAATTTCACAAATTCAGTAAAACTAAACAGTTTTTGTTTGAATCAAGTTGTTAATATAGAAGCTCTTTATCGATATGTTTTAAAGTGTATGAAGTCAGTTCCTAAATCTTCAAAGTCATATGATTTTGTCAGAATGTTGGAAAGTAAAAACTCCCAGAAAAAATCAAAACCATGAATATTACGATTTGCGAACTTTTTCATTCTGTTGAAATGCACGCTTACATTTCCACTACACTATCTTCTGTCCCTGAGCGAGTTTTACAATGAAACGTGTCAGTAATAGGTGTTGGAGCTCAGGTTGAGGGGTCCGTGGGCGACTCCATGTATTAAGATAGGTTATAAATTTCAGGTCCTTCTCACTATGTTTTAACTGAATTTTTAGCGCGCATTGTCTAATTGGTAAATATGATGTTTTTATAATGCGTACAGTATAAATTGCGGCAATCATTTTATGTTTTGTTTTGGTTCTTCGTAAGTCAATGATGAACAGTTAAGCAAAAAAAAACTCTCTTCAATTGTTCTCAAAAAATTTCGAAATACGAAAGTTTTTAATCTAATTTGACTAATAACTTGTTTTATATGATAGTCTAACTACTTAACGCAATGCTTTATCTAGCTGAAACTTACTTGAACTTAGAGAAAAAATCAGTTTCCGCAAAAATTACTAATACAAGAATGAATGCATCGTAGAACAATTTTACTGCATAAATTACAATTACAAACTAAAACATGCACTTTGACAGCAATTAAAATTAAAAGTCAAAACATGCTAGTCACGAATATTATTCAAGTTTCTCTGGTAGCATCTAAAAAGAAGTAATGCTGAACAATTTTCGTAAAATCCACACAAATTATCGTAGTTTTTGCGGAACCTTTCTGTGACACTTCTTTGTTAAAAAAGAGTAAGTTGATCTCTTTTTAGCCAGAGAGTCAGCAAAGTAGTAACTTTTGTGCAAAAGAGCAACCATGATCCAGTATTTCTCTTCATTATTGCTTGAAGATGATTTGATAATCGCAAAAGTCTATTTTGTTAGTTCATCTGAGAAACTTCATCAGAGAGATACAATTTCATATACTTGAACCTGAGCTCAGAAGTTTTTTCAAAAACTTGCATAAGTGAAAATTTATCATTTTTCGCACTTGTTAGCTGACTTACAAAGTAAAAACAAATAAATTAACCTTGTTTTGTACAAATTAGGACAAAACAAATTTGATGACTAACAAGTTAGATACTGAACTACCGAAATCTAATAGTCATGCCCTTATACTGGACAAAGAGTATTGAATACTAATTCACAGTCTAGGGCTGTCATTTATACAGCTTTCATTTTTGACTTATGCTGATATTTAGGTCTGAAGACAAATGAAAAAGATAGTACAAGTAAAAAAAACGATGAAAAATGAAAAATTACAAAAAGTACAATAATGTGAAAAACAAAAAATCCAAAAAACTTAAAACTGTTTGTAACAATCTGGAAAAACTAAATGTTTTAAGCAATTATTCCGATTTTGTCGATATGAAAGTTCAATAGTTTTGCTTTCAAGAGGATCACTTCGATTACATACTTCAAAAGAAATTGGAAAACCATTTCTAGACTACTTCTAGACCATTAGAAATACTTCAAGTCTAAACTTCTAGTTTAGCTGATTCCACGACTTTTTTTACATCTTATCAAATACGTACTAATGTTTGAAAAAAAACCTGGTTTTGGACGTACTCTAAAAGGATCTCATGACAATTAGAAAGTTCATTTATTAATGAATTGACTATCAAAAAATTTTTAAATCTTTTTTGGACACTTCTCATGCATGTGTTTTTAGTCGTAAGCTTGCTTAAACGTAAGTCTCAAATTAATAGCGGGTCAGCGGGCGTAAGCGAAGCGTTACTATACGTTAACAAAGAACTTGTTTACCAACAAGGGGTTGGAAATCAAGTAGGTCGATTGAACTAAAACAATACAAGAGGATGAAATCTAAGAATGAAAAAATACAACTGACATTGTACAACTCGGCTATCGCCATACTGGAATTTTAAATTTTGATTTGCCAATTAGTTTGCAAAACTTTGCAAATTGAATAAAATCTAAAGGGTTTGGACTAACCTTGTGGCCTTACGACAGTTTACAAATCGGAAACCGTCGTAATCATTTTTTTTACACAGAGGCGAAGGTGAACTTCGCATACACAAGCAAAATTATGACCGATAACGTTACTGGGAAAAACTGAATGAGTAAGACTTTGAGTCTAGAAATATTCTTAAGTGACGCCCGCCAATTATGAGTCTACACAATTGCTAAGTGACGCAAGCCAATTATGATGCCTTAGCAGTACCAGTCAATTTGAAGAAAAAAGAAATTTATCACCTAACATGCCTGTTTATAGAGCAAATGCATTTGAACGAGCATACGAAAAAGTTCAATACAATATCCGACCCTGCCCAAGTTCGAATCCTCTTATTTTGTTGCTGGTCTTTTTCCCTATCTCTACGCAACAGATCCATGATACCTTGAAGCTAAAGTGCCATTAGTAATATAATAGTCTATGTTAGTATCCTTAGCATTGGCTGTACTTAATAGCTGGATCAAAATGAACACTTTCAAAATGAACACATTTTGTTGCAACAATTGCATCGCACAAAATTTAAGACTTAGGTTGGAAAAAAAGAAGTGTTCATACTATAACACAAGCTATGCTTATGTGCTTGTGTAATCACGTTAAACAGCACATCACTATCGAAAAGCACGGAATCAAGAATGAGGCAGTTCACAATACTTTCTCGCGCTATATTTTTGCCTAGAAGATTTTTATTTGGGAGAGACTATAGAAGATCTGTTGTAGAAAACCCAAAATCTACGATATCTCGACATCTGAACACTCCCGCAATTTGTACAATTTACAAAAATTTACAATCTTTCAAATTTTTGCGTCTGCATTAGGCAAAACATTTAATTTTTTAAAATGCATTCTACATAATGAGACATTCGAAACAGTTTGAGGTTGTTTTTTGTGGTAAACACTGGTAGAGTAATCAATATGAAAAATTCTTGGAAATCGATCCTTTTTTCAGAAATGGAGGACGCCAGAAAAATTTCGTCGTTTCCTTGAATTTTTGTTTGACGTGATGATACTTCGATATGAAAAAAAAAAATAGAAACTTTAATTTTCAGCATCTTAATTTGACAAACAGATCACTTTTCTTGCGCAATTTATTCAATTAAGTAGAGTTCTAAAAAAACTTAATGTGTAGCCAAATGTAAGCTCGAGTTGCACATTCATTATTCTTTTGTTCCCATTCTAGTTTATAGTTATTCACGGTGAGTTGGTATACCGATATATTTGAATGAGAGGCTGAAATTTATTTTGAATTTTGACATTATGGGGCAGCTTGAACTATTTTTTGGACACTTGTAAAAATTATTTGATATTTTTCAAAGCTGATCTAAGTGAGTCTTGATAGTGGAAGCATTTTTAATTTAGTATTTCAACGGTCTGAACGTGTTTTAATCATCGTCATTGTCATGGTTAACTGAAACATTTTTCCTAAGTACAATTTGAATTGATTTTAAAATGTAATCAATTTTGTTGTTTTTTAATTTTTTTCTGGAAAAAAATAATCTTGCTTTCCCGTTAATTACTCCTTTCTTATTGCAAGTAAGTCATTCTATTTTTCAACGGTTGAAAAAGCTTTGAAGAAATGCAATATTTTTTAGTAACGAGTATCCCCTTCGGGTGCCTAGTAGCGAATATCCCCCTCCCCCCCCCCCCCTTATGAAGTAATAAATGAACAGTTAAGCATATGAGAAATTTATACATAGTAACGAATCTCCGCCCCCCTTGCAAAAGGAGGGATATAGTTAAAGAGATCCTTTTACTTGAATGCCAGTAGCAGATTTAGGGGGGGGGGGGGTCTTAGAGTTATTTTCATTGGATATCATTACTGTTCACCTATGAACACACCCATCAAATACAAAAACTGGACGTTTTTTAGACCTGATCCTAACTTGTGGTAAATACACTCATTTTTATTTCTTCCAACTTTCTTCTAATGGGCAAACAAAGAACATTTTCATGTTTCTTGTTATGAAGCTAGTTAAAATCATCCATTTCAAAGCTTATTAAGCTTAAATTTCTGAAAAGAAATAAATTTCATTTTTACAAGTACCTCAAGCATACACTTGAGTCAAATCAGTTTCTTATTTTTGGAACAAAATCACAGCTATACCTCCAAGAAAGAACAAATGCTGATTAAGAGAACAAAAACCTGGATGCTGCTGCAAATCTTTTGGCAATTTTCACCTGTTTAAACTTAAATGACTTTTGTTAAGGAGGATTAATCTTTGAAGCCGTACTATTATAAGTTTGAAGTTCAACCCCAGCTTACTGCTTGAAAAGTACCTTTTTTTATTAAAGCGGAAATAAATAGAAATTTGGAAATAAAGCAAATCTTTTCAGTTCCTGATTTTAAAAGGAGAGTGGGAAATTAGTCTCAACTTCATTTAAACGAAAGTACTCCAAGCCGAATGTGATTTATCCGCTAATAAGTTAAACTTTTAGAAATGAACCGTCGTGCATACCTTTCAAACTAAAACTCGTCTTCTGATATTTTTTGTTCAGTTTAAGGAATAAGTTGGGATCTCTTTAACTATCCCCCCATTATGGTACCAAGCAACGAAATGCCACCACTATATATTCACTGCTGAAGCATAGGTAAATTTTGTACCTAGTAACAAATCCCCCTCACTTGAAAAGAGGGTACAGTTAAAGAAATCCATTACTTGTTTAGGTCATAAGTGGGATTTATATTGCCTTAATTTTTCGGCTATATGAGATTCGAATACAAAGCTGGGTCTATTAAAAAATAGAGCATGTTAATACAATTGGCGATTTCCACCTGTAATAAGAACCGTGCTTTTAAATTCATCAAGTGATCTGCAGCAAGAGAAAAAGAAGTCACCTGCACTTAAATGGAGACTGTGTTTTATTGCAGCGATGGCAGATGTCCCGCTACTCAAATTAATATTTCAGTATCAACCCCCGTTTAGTCTTCATTTCGTTCCGGTCCAAATTGTACTTTCATTTCAGTTTACAATATCTGCTCAGTTTCCTAAATTCAATCACTTCTGTGCAGTTGGAAAAACTCATTCTCATATATTAACAAGCATCGGATGCAGGAAAAATTTTGTCCAGCTCATTTATTATTTTTTAAAAATTTTTATTCTATTTACAAAAAGGAAATCTTGTTAACAGTTTTTGACAACTTTTTTTGAGTCTTTTTTAACTTTATCAGTAACTAATTGCTAGAATTTTGATTAATTTAAATCTGTACTTTACTTTAATCGATATTGGGAAAACTTTGCCGAATATTGCTCAAGGCAATTCCGTTTGGCTTCTGAGTACTGAGATTGGTCAAGTTTCCACAAGATCGCTAGTGTGAAGAGAAAGAGTCGTGATGTGATTAGTCAGCATCAGTAGCTATCACCTTCTTTTCTGTTTGCTTTTGCGAATTCAACTCGACTCAATTTATTGATTTTCTTTGCCGTTTTGGGTACAAAATTACTTTTTTTCGTCATAGTTCGATAATCGAGATAGTTTTGACAATCGGATAAGCTTGTTTGTGAGTAAGCAAACTTGGAAACTAATTTATTTCTTGTTTGAAATCGTCCGCGCAGTCTTACAGACCTTCAAGCACTTACTTCACAGAGCGTCAGAGGAAATGTGCATGGATGTCACGACACATCGCTCTCAACTCAAAAAAAAAGGTTTGTGATTTCAGATATTTTTTGTTCACTTTTTCGATAAAAAAAAGAGAAGTTGATAGCAAAACAGATAAATTGTCTGAAAGTAGCAAAGTATCGCAATTTTACGGACGTATAAAAATACGAAGGTCAACTGGGGTCGTTCTATGCCACTTAAACTTATCGGGGCAGCACAACAGTGCCGAAAATAATTTTATTGTTCAACAGTCCCGAAAATCATCAATTTTCGGCACTGTTGAACACTTTTTCATTTTCGTCACTGTTGTACTTCGGCACTGTTGAACGCCCCTAACTTATCGCTTCACAAAATATTGTAAAGTTTAGCTATGTCATTTTGTCAAATTGCTCGTACTTGGTTCAAATAGCTTGGTATTCAAAACTCAGTCATTGTTTAAAATTGATTGTAGTTTCTGTCATTGTTTTAAATTGCTGGTAGTTTCTGTCATTGTTTAAAATTGCTGGTAGTTGTATTCAAAAATATCTATTTGTTTAACAGAAAGATACTTATGTTTCAGAAATTCAAGCGCAGAAATTCAGTACTAGAAGAGAATCGAACTTCATGTTGGATGTCTACGATCAACCCGATCATCTTCCCGCCAATGGAACTCAAAACTGATCTGAAGACAGTGAAAAAGCCTTAATTAAATGAAACAATGTAGATAGTACCAGATATCTTCCTAATATTTCGAAGGCAAAATGGAGATAAAAATTGAACTAATGAAAAGACAATTGTTAACAAGCTCCAAAGAATAATGAATAGGAAAACAGCAAATTACTGCAAAAAAAAATTTGGAAAGAAAACAAATTTAGGAAATATGGTTCAAACTATTCAACCTTATCAAATTACGGCATTATTTATTGAATAATACTTCACTCCCAATTGCCACGAAAGAAAAGGAAAATAATATTAAAAAATCATATATTTTACGTACCTGGTGCTATAGCTAAAAAAAGACTTGATTTATCATTCGCTAACTTCCCAATTCAAATCAAAGCAAAAATTCAAATCAGAAAAATTACCGAAATAATATGAAAAACAAGTATTACATCCGTTTTACTTGGGATTACAAATACCTAAATCAGATAAATCAAGTCAACAAAAAAAGTTAGTTTATGTAAATTTGTAATTAAGAATGCGAATGTAAAAATGTTAATACCGCACATCCTGAAAACTTTCCTGCACAGTCTTGCAATTACGCAATTGTTGCGTAATCATAGCTGTTGAATGGATCGGTCAGGGTAATTATTATGTAATTAGTGCAATAA